AAAAAAAAAAAAACCCAGGATGTGAGAATCCTCCAGCACCTGCTTGCAGGGGCCTCCTTGGTGCCCAGGCGCTCCACTTCACAGTGTTTATTATTTGTGGTGTTTTGAGACAGGGTTTCAATGTGTAATTTAGGATGGTCTACTCCCTATGTAGGTCAGGCTGGCCTCCAGCTTACACTGATTGTCCTGCCTCAGCCTCCCCAGTTCCGAGATTACAGCCTGAACTACCAGTCCTGGCTAACACTTTAATAAGCTGCTATGTCCTCCCTCCCTCACTGAAGACTTGGGCTGCTGGGACAGACAATACAGGGGGAGAAGCATCCATTCTGTAGGGTCAGTGGAGGCCTCTGGAGACATTATTTGGTTTCAGCCATGAATGCTGAGAGGACTGGAGAGTGGAGTGGGTGGGAAGGGTGCTCCTGCAGGGGTGTGGGAACCTGGGATATAAGGAGAGGGGCGAACAAGGGGGCTGCATGGTGCTCAGACAGGAGAGCAGGACTGTGTGGGGATAGACACAGAGGCTGGAGTGGCAGGCTCAGAAGGACTCATTCTGAGCCGGGTCAGGCTGGTGCGGACACAAACGAGGTCTTAGTCATGAACCCCCTCTCATGACCCTATGGTCACCTCTATCACGGGCTACTACTGTCACCCCCTTGCATGGACACACCTTTTGGGAAGAATGAGTAGTTTCGTTAAGCCTCCAGCTTTGCTCTGCCCACCAAGGACCATGCTCTGTAAAGCAGCAGCCAGGGAGGGGCCTCTCAGACACTGCCACGGCGCCCACATCCCAGGCACCTCCACTTTCTTCAGCATCGTTTGGCTTTTGCTGTACGAGGGCACTGTGTACCTGGGCAAATGATCTACAGCAGAGCTATGCCCCCAACTCTCAAGCTGTCTTCCTTGTCCTGGCATTCAAGGCCTTAGCAATGTGCCCCTCTCAATTTGTGCAGCCTCTTTTTGGTCGCTCTTTGCCAGAGCTGGGCCATCTACAACCTCAGTCGCTACTGTCTAGGCCTCTTATCCACTACAGAAACACATTTTCAGGCTTTCAGTAGCAGGTAAAGCCAAAAACTCTAGGCCTTTTCTGGTCTTGCCCTCAATGCCTGCTCTGGGTGGCTCTTCAGCACCTTCCAGCAGCCTCTGGGCCCTGCTTGTGGCAGGTGCTGCATGGTGAAACATCGTGAGCTGATGTCATCAGCCAGGTAGCGTAGGCAGA